GTTATAGTTTAAGAAAACTGTCCTTATCTTCCACTTATTGTGATCGTCAGTATATAGGCAGTTGCTTGGTCTTTCTCATTAAATCCATCTTGCGTCATTTAGAAATCTTGATTATGAACCCTCGTTCTGTTAGCTTACTTGGAAGAAACTCAATGTGCTCAGCTCAAAACATCCCTAAAACCTTTTGCATTACCCAAAATACACCTCTTGTACTTGTGATAACATTTCAATGAATGTATAACACATTATTTTTCACATTTCATAAACTTTTCTGCAGGACCAACATTGTTGAAGCACATGTTCAAGTACATTCCCTTCTTAAATCTGAGTACTCACCAGAAGACATTAAAAATATTCTCAATATGGTGTCAATACCAGAACTGCAAGCTCAGCTTGATAACCTCTTGTAAGGCAGTCCTGAATCCATACATCCTATTATCTTCATCTTTCAGATACATTTCAATTGATTTTCCAAATGAACCTTCGATTTTGTAGACTGAAGAGTAGGACTTCATTTGTCTAAACAAATCTTAAGTCTATATATGACATTAAAGGGATTGTGAATTCTATAGGATTGCAACGTCTCAGCAGGAAAAATATAAGTGATTTTGCTGTTTCTGGAAAAATCAATAGAGAATGAAAATTGCACTTTTACTTCTTGAATTTTCTTCTACATATATTTTGTGTTCATCATTTGTTTAATTATCTTTGTTGCTTGGGAAATTGAAGAATGTTGTTCTAGGATATGGGGAAAATGTGTGAATAGCCATTTGTGATCTTGGATTCTTGGCGCTAACTTTTCTCATATTTGTATTCAAGCCTAAATTACTAGGCAACTAGTCATGTTTAGTTTTGAGGATTGCATGTTCTGGGAAATTTAGGCTGAGGTCCTCAACCTATGAAATTGAGCACCTGGGTCCTAAATCCATGCAGCACGGTGAATTTAAGTTTTTGACGGAGAAAAAGTCAATTGTTATTTATTTATTTATTTATTTATTTTGGCCAAAAAGCTGTTTACAAAAAAATTAATAATGCCAATTCCAAAATCCCAGCAACACCACGTTTTTTAGGGATGGCTGTAGGGTGAGGCTGGGGTGGTCATAACTGATATCATCCCATTGAGGATTTAAATAAATATAATCTTTAAAAATGCGATTTAAATTGAAAAATTTATAAAAATAAAATAAAATAAAGCTTAAATTATACTGTAAGCTAATCAAACATACTTTATATTTACACAATTTTCTAGTCTCATGTCATTTACATTTTCTGTATGTTACAACTTATATAAGCACTAACAAACATATTAATTTTCTTGAAATTCTTAATATAATAATTTTTGTGGTCTCTAAATTAATCTGAGGGTCTATTTACCTAGCTAAATGGAATAACATGGGAAAGTCTTCCACATATTTTTAAAATTTATCTTCCATAGTAAATATAATGTTTTCAAAAGTTGGGAAAGTTATATATTTGTTGAAAGTATTGGCAAATACAACGCATAAGGAAAAGTATATACCACCAAAATCAAGGTTTAGTTATGCAATTAAATTTTTAATACCGACTGTATTAACAATAGCAATATCATATGTGAAACTACAAATTATATTTTCGCAACAATATTATTTTTAATAAACATTAAAAAAAAAGAAGAAGAAAAATACTTTCTAGGACCAGTCTTAAAGGACACACTCGATAGGTTCAATTAAATGAATTATGTGATATCGCATTTAAGTTAGTCTATCATTTAATTTCAGACTGTTGTCACCTGAGCTAGTGCTTAACACTAATGATATTAAGGGGCCGTTTGAGCCCCATTATTTATAAATTATAATGAGATGAATAGTATTTTTTTGAAAAATGTGTGATTGAAAAGTTTTTGATTTACATGTAATATTATTTTATTGAAGATTGTGTGGTTAAAAGTAGGAGAGAAAAAATTTTAATTTAATATAATGAGAAATAATGAAACTCAAACGGGACTAAATAACATTACTCTTAAAAAAATACATTGCAAGGATAGTCAATTGGATTGGCTACCTACATAATTTAGTTGTTATCAAAAACAGATTTGCGACAAGATTGAAATGTACATGTATTAAATGCCTCAATCGAAAAGTGTTTAATCACGTGATGCTACTGATTTTGATATCCCACAAAGTCAATTTTGGCTTTACACAATGAAGATAAAATTAGTAAAAAAAGCTACCATTCCAATTTTAAGAAAATGGTAATTAGCACAAAACGTTTCTACTTTTTAAAGTTATTGTGCAAAACGTCTGTACCTTTCATTTTTTGACATTTTCACCCTGACATTCTACCTTTCATTACGCAAAAGGTCATTTTCATCCATTTTTGACGATTTAATTCTTCTATTTAAATAAAACAAAGACAAAAGAAAAGAAAAAGCAATGAACTAATTGTAATCGAAGTCCCAAATTTTCAAAAAATTACAAATGAGTTAAAAATATATTCTTAAAAATCAAAACTATTAAAAAAAAATTATTATTAACCCACCAAATTGGAGAACATTGAAATTTTGATAAAATTTTTAATTAAGTTTTTGTGGCACGAATTCTAATGCTCATTTTCCACCAAATTAGAGCAAATTTAAATGTTCAATTGAAATGGAGTCGAGGCATTAATTGGTTGATTTGAGACAAATTGATGAAGACCTATATATACATTTTGTTCACCATGATGAGTAGAAGAAAATGGTGGTGGTCCCTGTCTGTGGTTCTCAACGTCAGCGTTGAAATTTGGGATGAAAACTGCGTGGTTCTCTACCTTCAAACTGGAATGAGCTTGAATCTAATTTAAGTTGTTTCTTAACGATATGGGACCATGAAATTGCTCGCCGGGAGGAGTATTAGATGCCTATAATGGAGTTTGGCCATGGGTGTTGGAGATTTGGCCGGAATTGGTGTTGAAGTCTTGCGTGAAGACATGTTTTTAGGCCTGAATCTCATCTGATTTTGAAACTGTTATGGGCAATTTTTGGTATGGGATTGTAGAGTGGAATGATCTGGTACAACATGTAGCCATTCAATTAATTAAATCTTATTTAGCAATTATTTGCTTCGATGAGGGAAGCATTTTTCGGCGATTTAGACCGCGGTGTGTGGTGGGTTAAACTCTCAATAATTTAGGTGGTTGTGGGTTAAACTCACAGTAAAAATTAAGGTTTTTTTTTTTCATTTTTCAATTTTATTTTAAGAATATATTTTTAACTCATTAGTAATTTATTGAAAATATGGGACTTTGGTTGCAATTAGTTCATTTTTTTTCTTTTGTTTTGTTTTTGTTTTACTTCAATAGAAGGGTAAAATCGTAAAAAGTGAATGAAAATGACCTATTGTGTAATGAAAGATGGAAGGTAAGAGTGAAAAATATCAAAAAAATGAAAGTTAAGGACGTTTTGCACAATACCATTAAAAGGTAGGGACATTTTATATCAATTACCCATTAAGAAAACTATATTTCATATAATCCAAGCAAAGTAGTTGAAGAATACACCTTACTATCATTAATATATTGTTGTCTGAGAAATCGTTTTATTCTATAATGGACAATTTTAGTCATAGTAGAATGTGTTATTTTATAATAGTTACTAATTTTTTTTACCACAAACCTCTATAAATTAATAATTTTGGGATTAAGGAAATTTTTATTAATTTTGTCAGTATTAAATAATTAATTTACTAATAGCTTAATAATTTAGTAATGTATTTCTTATTTTCTATATATCTTACATTGTATTAAGTTTCTCACTACATAAACTAATAACTTATGTATTTATTAAACCAACTAAAATTCATGGATATATTTATTTTTCTCAAAAATAGATTGTACATTGTTCAACATCCTATATTATTCCATTTTATGAAGATTTAATCAAGTAAAAATTTTGATTTAAGTAAACAAGAGCCATACCATAACACATTCATCATATATAAACAATGGCTTCTCATCTCAAATGTAGTTGCATTGAATCCCATCATCATTATTATTATTATTATTATTATTATTATTATTTTATTTTAGTTTTTGTTTGTTTTGTTACAATATGAGAAAACAACACTAGAACCTTTTTAGGTTTGCGGCATATCATTTAGAAGCTCGTCATAAACTACAGATGAGACAAAAAATTGAATAAAGTCCACCCAAATTGAAAACATTAGGGCACTCCAGCCCAGAAATTTCGTTTGTCTTTTTTTTTTTTTTTTTGTTTATTTATTAGCCTGAACTCCACAACCATACAGTCATGTTGAAGAAGCTCTTATTGGACCGCTTTTTCTTGGCTATGTAAAGGTTATCAACAGGGGTGGAGCCCCATTAGATTTGCCCGCACTGAACTCCAGCCCAGAAATTTTGTTTGTCTTTTTTTTTTTCTGTTTATTTATTAGCCTGAACTCCACAACCATATAGTCATGTTGAAGAAGCTCTTATTGGACCGCTTTTTCTTGGCTATGTAAGGTTATCAATACCAGACCTAGGATAAAAATGCCAAATTCAATTCCTTCTCTTTTGTCAAGTTTGGGGGAAAATATATTTATTAGTTTTGCCGCTAGGGAAGAAGAATATTTCTCGAAATCGAAGCATACGAGTGAAAATGCCTTCATCATAAACAATACTTGAAATTGGGTAGTGAGAATTAGATAAGTTCAATTCAGTGTGCACATATTGTATTATTCTGTTAATTTCTGTATATACTTTGCATTTAGGAATTAATGTACATTATTCTACATGGATCATATTGGCTTATAAATCAATTAAGGCTTTAAATTGATGTATTGATGATCATGTAACATTCTTTGGTTTTAATACAAGGTTTAAAACCAGTTGCTAATAGCGTGGGAGATGAATCTGATGAGCTGATGAATTCTGGTGAAGAGCTTGAGACTTCAGCTAATGAATTAAGAATTCTAGAGATAAGAGACATCGTCTCTGCACCATTTTAGGAGGCCGTGAAACGAGCAACTTTCAGTACATCTTACTTAGGAATGAATTGTGTTCTTCAACGTGTGACTGATTTTTAAGTTCGTTTAGTAGTAGGAAGTTGATCGAGTTGTAAATGAGGTCTTGGGTTTGGCCGAGCAAAATATGCGGCCTGTTGTATAGGTATTGGCCCTGAGAGCTTGAAGGCATGCAATCTTGGCCTCGTTATTACAAAATTCAATGCAACAAAATGTTTAAGATTGACAGGTCATATATGTGACTTCTGATAAAATGTTGGAATAAATAATTGAAATTAAACATGTCATATTTACATAACACAGTCTATAATTCTCAGTTATACACTAAGGTCACAATCACATACTATCTTCCAACCCAAAGAGAAGCCCAATGCCCAATTGCCCAAAGCCCACAACCCGTTTACTTACCCAGGCCCTAACCCATTCCCCTAAAAAATTAATTAACCCGTTTTCCATTCATAATTCATCCATTCGAAAAAAATCAAAACCCTTCGTCCGTTCGTCATGTCTCTCTCTCGCCACTTCCTCTCTAGTCTCAATCGGCGCCGATCACTACCACTTGCAGTCCGACCTTTGTTGCTACTAGCTAGTAGCAGGCCCTACTGGCATCTCCTAGAATTTAGGTGCTCTAATCTCCCACTCTAGTCGACTATCGACTAGTCACTCATCTGACCCGTCGTCGCTCCTTAAACCGCCAACCGGAACCCGCTATTTTTCCAGCAATTAAAGGTAGCTAGCCAAACAAAAGAAGAAGCCAGAAGAAGGTGAAGTCCCAATTTCAATTTTCCACTAGTGTGGCAGTGTCGAGTGGTTTTGAATTATTTTTCCCTTATTTGTTGTTATTTCGATTTCTGTAAATTGTAATGATATGTATTTTTTTTTGGTCTTTTACATATGAAATGAAATTAGCACTTTGGACTTTGATTACTCAACGAGGCACGGACAGTAGACTTCAAGCTTCCAATGGACTGTGAAATTGTAAGTTCAAGTTACTTAAATTTTGGAAATATTATTAATTGCATTGTGAAATTGCGAGTTGGACGGTGAATTGATTATATGAAATTGTAAAATGTGAATTGCACTGGATTGATAGTATATGTTGGTATTGCACTGTGAATTCATTATTTGGAGTATTTTTTTATCATCACTAAATCCATGACCTTGTTATTTATTACGGAACTTTCTTTAAGCTTGTAGTAGAGAATCTTCCAATCACGTAGAACCATAACAACACTTATTAATTTCATCAAATCTGCTCCAATCCTATGCATTATGCATTTTTCTTCATCTTGAATATTATTAATAATCAAACTCAAGTACCTAGTGCAATATCTCTTAAGTGCAACATAATCATACTATAAGGTCCAAAAAATTATTGAGAACTTGGTGACAACACATTGTGACCATTATCAAGCATTTACATGAAATATAATTAATCCCATATACCTAGTGAGAGGATAAAAGCTTCACAATGTTGATGTGGTACGAAAATCTCAAAATTTTTATCTTGCCCGCTGAGGCGGGAGATCAAGATTGTTATATAAAAATAAGAAAATTATAGATCCTTATATTTCGGGGAAAATAAAATAAAATAATTCAAGATTATACTTTGAAGAGTTCTACTATCCAATTCTGACAAAGTTGAAGAAATCCAAATTTTCGACTCCATTGATCCTTGCGATGCCAATTGGCCACTATTCAACCTCAGAGCGAAAATGCGCCCAACTAACCGTCGTTGTCGACAATTGAAATGACGGTGCTATCAACGAATCTAACTTCTTCGGTGAAATGTGAAATTGGAGTAATTTTTTGTCATCACAAAATCCATGAACAAAAACCTTGACGTTTGGTGTCGAAAAAAGTTGCTCGCACTGAACTCAAATCCTGGCTCCTCCCCTGGATGAAATGACCATTAATACAATTAAAAAAATAAAATAATCGAAGTAAAATGTGATCACAATAGGTAGTGATTGTTGTGTGCGCGCCTTCTGTTTGGTGGATATTAAATTAGATTTTTGATAAAATTTAATGAAACGTTTGATTAAAAAATTGTGGATCTTCCGAATATATGATTAAAAATAATTATAAATATAAACTTTAACTTAGATAAAAATTTCAATTTAAGAATATGTTTGAACCCCATTTTTGGATAAAAATGCGTTTTGAAATAGTAAATTGATGGAGAATGTGTGACTAAAAAATAAGAAAATATTTTTTATTTGTATGTAATATTAATTTGTTGAAAAATTATGTGATTGAAAAGAAAGGAAAAAAATACATATATTTTAAAAATAATATGCGTCAAAGAAGGGCTGAATCCCTATAAAAAACTAGACATAATTGGTTACGTATAGTGAAAGTTACCAAATAATAGAATAATAAATGGTCATATGCAAGAGTTGTGGAAAAGTTACCTGCTTGGATCATGACAGATCATACATACATGATACACACACATACATTCGACGGCGTGGGTGTGGGGGTGGGCGTGGGGGGTTTAGTTGGTGGGTGGGGTTGTAGACGTGGACTGAAGGTCACGATTTGTCCCAATTGGATTGGTGAAATAAAGAAATCTCAATGATTGCCCATTGTATTCTAATATTAATCCCAAGACCTTCTTACCTAATACAAATCAAATCAAAATTACTGTAAATTGTCGGCCATTGACCGCCACTAATTTTGCCAATTCAATTTAATTATCGGTTCATAACAATTTGATATTACTCCACCCTCAAAAATTTAAGATATCTCTTGTCGTGAACATGACGCATTTCCGCTTTTAACTTTTTCAATTCAAAATACTAAACACAAGTTTTAAAAATTCGAATACCGACTTACTTTCGAGTTGCTCATATTAGTAAATTTTCGGAAAGAAACGAGTTCACAAGCTATCTCTCGAACCACGTAAGAAAGAAGAAAGTTTTCGAGAGCCATAAAACCACCATCACAATTTTTTACAAGATAAAAGCAGTAAGAAATTTTTTTAAAACATTGTCATTTCATATTTTATTTCGTCAACCACCTAAGTTGTGGTTATCGCTTATCATTTTGCCTTGACTCTCTGTTTCTCTTTTTAAAAATCAATTAAAATCTATGCATAACTCTCTCTCTCTCTCTCTCTCTCTCTCTCTCTCTATGCATCATTCCATCGCAGCATCATAATTCATCATTATCAGCATCATCGTTTATGTCAATTTTTTACTTTTTATTTTTATAAAATCAGTACCTCAAAATCTCTTCCCATTTCCATTTTCCAGTTCTTTCCATTCCCATTCGTATGTAAATTTTTTTTAGTTGTACCATTTTTTTTTTTTTTTGTTAAAATTGTTGAGTGTAATCTGAGTTTTGATAACTTTTTGATAGAAAAGAAGCTTCTTAATTTAGTAATATAGATATTGACATTGAGATTTGTGAAAAAAAATAAATCTTGAGGGTTCTTGATTTTTAATATTTAATTTTCTTGGAGAATGCTAAGTTTAAAGACGATTTGTGGTGATGATGGGGTTTAGGAAATGGGAACAAAGGTGAAAAAAATTTGCATTCAAATTAGATGCTGGAGTGATTGAATCCCGAGCCAAGGCTCGGGAAAGGCAAACAATGAACCCTACAACTATGGCGGATGCTTTGGAAAATGTACAACCACCACCTCTTTCTCCTCCTCCTATTTTGCCACCTCCGGATGGATTTATGCAGAAATTCCGACTCTATGCAACACAATCGGTATTAACTTTTTTGCCATTTCTTATTTCTTAAAGTTCGAATGGGTCAGCATGCTTTGCCTGGATTCTTGTACTAACTTGGAGTACAAAATCTCCTGTTTTAAGGCTTTATATAGATTAAATTGCGCTGATATTTAATGCTAATGCTGATTATGCTTAAATTTTTGCCATCACGTTCTTTATTAATTGGCAGCAATTTTATTAATTTGGCCTTTTAAAGTTAATTCTAGATTATTTGGGTTTTGATATGTCTCTATATTCCATGGAATAAAAATTATGATCAACTGCATGATGGCTAGATTTTGACAATTTAGTAGAAGATATATGAGGTTACACGCTCGAGTGTAGGCTTTCAAACATTTATCTTACTCAACTGCCATCAGCTGGAGCTTAGTTTAATAAGTAAAAAATTATGTCATATCCTCCACGTGCTCAGAATTCTTTGAATGTTACCTTAGGAGTTTCAGCATTAATCATGTCCTTATGCACTTCAGAAAATGTGATGCGTTCACTCATTGCGATGTAATGTTGTATTTGTACCTGAGATTTTCAATCAAATGAATCAATCAATCCCCTACTTCAGGGACATCTGTGTTAGGTAGGCCTAGGGATCACTCATTCTTTTGATTTATTGGTTGATTTGGCTGGCATCTCCTGCATATCTGTGAGGCCCTTTTTACAAGTTTGCTGCTGGAAGTCCCTAGAGATGAAGGTCTCATGTTCTCATTAGCTTTTATGTCTGTGATTGTCACCTTGCACTGCAAAAGAATTGGGGTATACTTCTAATTATTATGGAGAAACAATTGGATCGTATCTTCTTATACTCTACATAAATTTTAGTCTGTGCATGCATATAGAAGTATCTTACATCGACAACCTTCTCTGTGTTATTAACAGTTTTCACAATTTGTTGATTGCAGAAATTCTATATGGTCGGAAGGGACAAAAGTAGAACATACTGGAAAGTGTTAAAAATTGATAGGACAGAACCCGCTGAGCTTAACATTCGTGAAGATCCTGCCACATACACAGAAAGGGAATGCTCTGACCTATTGAGAAGGATACACGAGGGAAACAGGGTTACGGGAGGACTTAAGTTTGTTACTTCTTGTTATGGCATCGTTGGTACGTATAAATTGAGGGTCACTTCTTTACCATTCATAAGATGGGCTGCTAATCTTGCTTGTGTTCTTGTTACTCTCTTTTCCAGGATTCATTAAATTTCTAGGGCCCTATTACATGCTACTTATTACAAAAAGAAGGCAGATCGGTTCAATTTGCGGTCACAATGTCTATGCTATCTCTAAAAGTGAGATAATTCCCCTTCTGAATTCTGTTGTCACATCCAGCATGGTTAATTACAAGAATGAGAACAGGTTGTTCCCTCTCGCTTAATTTAATCTCTTTCAGAATGAAGTTGCTTTATTCTTTAAGTTCCCAAATATCGTCTTTCAGTCCCTATTCTCCGACATAGGGTTCCATACATAGAGAAGAATAAAATGCTAGACTATTCAGCAAACTTCAGCTGAGATTTTTCAGTTTGACCATTTGTTTTCCTCTACATCCCATCTTCCTTGAATTTTGATTTTCTATAATGAGCTAGAGAGCTAAAAATGAATATGGTAGTCTTAGACCTTAAAATGTTAATTTTCTTTACTAATGACTGCTTTTCGATTTTAATGGTTTTATAGATACAAGAAGCTCTTGTGCATGGTGGATCTGACGAAGGACTTCTATTTTAGTTACTCCTACCATGTGATGAGGAGTCTTCAGAAGAACATGTGTGATAATGAAACGGGACAAGTCCTGTATGAAACCATGTTTGTGTGGAATGAGTTTCTTACTCGTGGAATACACAATACTCTTCAGAATACTGTTTGGACCGTTGCATTAGTCTATGGATTTTTTAAGCAGGTAAGATTCCTTAGCTGCGTAAATGACAAAGATTTTCTTTGCCTGAGTTATCAGGTGTGATTTATTGATTCTAGTCTTTGACTTTGATTATTCTAAATATTAGTGTCTATATATTGGTGGCTATGCACTTGTAGCAAGCATTTAAAATTTGATGGCTTGTTGATTTCTTTATGCATGGGAATCCAGGCTACACTTTCTATATCAGGGCATGATTTCAAGCTGACTTTAATTGCCAGGCGTTCACGGCACTATGCTGGTACCAGGTCTGTATTTAAACAGTAATTTGATGAACATCTGGATTTATGTTGTTTGTTAATATCTCAACTTGAAGTTTCATTCTTTTTCCAAAGCATTGTAACATTGTACATGGACTCTATCTATAAAACAATGTTGAAGAATCCAAACCCCTACCATTGGGTTTAGGTGGAGGTCTACAAACTCTGCCCAGACTGACTTTGGTGGGGGTTTCTGGCAAAGAAATAAATAAAGAAATTAAAAACTTGCCCACATGCTACTTTTATCTCTCTCAGATGGGAACTTATCTATGTAACAGGCTTAGAAAGGGAATTCATCAATGTATTTATATAACTAGCTAAAAAACTCATACATTCAAGCATATATTTGCATCAAACTGTAGGGTTAGTGGTCTTTAATGTTTTTATTTCCTGTGTTTCAAATTGAATTGGAACCCTTCCTTACCTGAGGCGTTTCAAGGAATTGGCTTGCTGCCTATGATAGACAGTTTTTGTCCTTACTCTGAAGTACTCTCAATTGAAGTCACTCTGCTCCCCTATCAAAAATAGAAAAACAATTTCACATTTCTCACTTTCCTTACCCACTGTATGTTGTTCTGGACCAACCATTAAACCACCGCCATCAGTAGCAATTTGTCCACCAACAACCAATGAAACTATAGCTTCCATCATCGCAATAAAACCTTGTAATATGAACACCAGTTATATCATTACCTTGTATATAACACCTGAAACCCTCGCCTGTTGGATAACAAATCCATCTTACTGCAACCGATTAACTTGTACCCCCTAAATCCAGTTCCACTCAAAAGCAGCTAGAAGATCTCAAATGGTTGTCATGTGACGGAATAAATACTGGACCTCAACATTGGATATAAAAACATCTTATTGTGACGTGAATACCAAATGGAGACCAATGCTATTACAGGCCACATCTTAATCTTCCAAAATAGGAGGTTGGAAATGGAGGTTTCCCAAGCAGATTCTTCTTTCTTCTTATTATTATTTTTTTATATTTTTCTTTCTCCTGGAGGTTGTGGAATATCTTTCGATGGTATTTTGTATTTGTTCAATTATACTATTTTGTTATAGCAGTGGCGATGCTATTTTGTTTAGTTATACTTCTGGCCTTAGTTTTGAGTTGTTATGGCGTGGGGAAGATTGGAGAGAGATAGAGATGGGGAGAAGGAAGGAGTTGGGTTAGTTTCTTTTTCTCTATAATCTCTTTTCTTTTGAAGTAATCCATACCACTTGAACAAAAGAAAAATGGAAAGCTGTAAATGAAAGCCTTACCTGAAACTAGGCCGTGCAAATTGAAATGGAGGGGATTCTTGATTTCTAGTTGTCTGCTTTCTGTATCCAGTGATGGTGTAACACATTGGCCATGGATGATTATTTATAGAGTTCTTATCTACGTCACAGGTAATTCTCACTGACTTGTCATAAAGTCTTATTGTGATAAGAACCTTTATATTTACGGTAAGAACTGATTCCATGGACCTCAACGAGTTGTTTCTAAACATAATAAGAGGAGATAGGTGGTACAAATGGTCCTTTTAAATCACTCCTTTGATTTGGAAATTCTGGGGTTGCTTAGGCTTAATAAATGAAAAGCATGGATATATGGATATGCTAACATCAGGGAAGCATGTTTGAGGTTCGGTCTTAGGACTCTTATTTGTATCCTGAAATTGAGGAGTTAGGATAAAAAAAATTGCTTGCGATATGGGCTTTTTGGCAAGTGGGTGCATATTAAATAAGGTGGTAGATGTTTGAATTGGGATTTGCTCCTAGCAGGGGGTTTGCTCCACTTGGAGAGGACACTCAATCACTTGATTTATATTTTTCAGACCCTTAAGAAGGAAGCATGCACTAGCTGGTTAGGTGATGGAGAAGAAGTATGAGGAGAGGGGAGGGAGATCTTTGTCTTCAATTCACACCCTATAATCCAATTGGAAGCTTTGAATCTAGAAGGCACGTTTGAAAAACTCAATTCTACTAAATAAAAATGAGCTGGATGGTTAAATTGAGCATACCAGGAGATTTCTGGACTACAACAGTTACTTTATAGGACTTAAATCAAATACCACTGAAATCTTTCTAAAGAAAAAAACCTAGAGAACTAAAATCCAAAAAATGCAAAAATGAGTCAAAATATATAAAATGCTACAATAGACGATTATTGGCCTGCATCAGTATATATCATATTTAAAGAGGTGATTTGGTGGTCTTGACATTCCACCTTCGTCTATGCTTGGAGTTTAGAAATTAGCTACCAGGCTTGCTCAAGTAGGAGGAGCAGGCGGACAGCTGCATTTCATGGTTCTTCAACTGAACCTCCACCTACTTTCCTTCAAACAAAAAAAAAAAAAAAAAGGAGGAGAAAAAGGGAATTCCTAACTTGGTATTCTTTTGTAAACTCTTCATGTGGGAGGCCTAAATATATATAGCCTATGTTTGGCCTCAATTTTTCCAAAAAATTATTTTTCTAAAACTTATTTTCAACCACACATTCTCCCATAAAATAATTTTACATGTAAACCAAAAACTTTTCTTTATTTTTAAGTCAAACATTCTATGACAAAACAGTATTCCAAAATACATTTTGACCTATAAATGGGGCTCAAACAGGGGGATAGACATACGTGTACTAATTCATGTCTTAGAAGGGTAGAGTTACATTGAAGCATAGTAATCTGGAGAAATTGCTGCTGTAAGTCGGATTATCATTGTTATTTTCTTCACTTTTATGTTGCATCATTCACCTCATGTGTTGTCTTTGCCCTGTCGTTGGATGCTTTTGGCTGAGCTTTCTTCACCCCTTTCTCACTGTTGCACATATGATACATGAGATTTTTGCCTACATTGTAGATATCTAAAACGAGGGATCAACGAGAAGGGCAGAGTTGCCAATGATGTTGAGACTGAGCAGATTGTATTTAAGGATGTTCCAGTAGGGTTCCCTATGCAGATTAGTTCTGTTGTCCAAAATCGTGGGTCGATCCCTCTATTCTGGTCACAGGAAACTTCACGCCTAAATCTTAAGCCTGATATTATATGTATGTTATATCAATTCCAACTCCTCCTTATGTTGTGGCTAAAGAACTCTAATCTGATTTTCATTTCTGTATTTCATAACTGGTGCTTATTTTCCAGTGTCAAAGAGGGACCATAATTATGAGGCTACAAGACTTCATTTCAAAAATCTTGCCAAGCGATATGGGAACCCTATTATCATTTTAAATTTGATTAAGGTGAGAGGGATTTTATCTTGACTTTTTGACTCAAGGGTGTTATGGTGAATTTGTCAACTCCATTTTTGTTACATGTTGAATTTGTTGAAGTGTATAATATATAGGAACTGAATTTTGTTATCAACAGACAAATGAAAAGAAGCCTCGAGAATCCATTCTTCGTACTGAGTTTGCTAATGCTATCGAAGCTATTAATAAGGATCTCTCAGAGGAGAATCGTCTTAAATTCCTCCACTGGGATTTCCACAAACATTCTCGGAGGTATCTAATGTTTTATCCTTTAAGACATGCTGCTTTTGTAGAAGGCCTGACTAGTCTTTATTTTTTAACTATTTTCCTCAGTAAAGCTACAAATGTTCTTCTTCTCTTGGGAAAGGTGGCTGCATATGCATTAACTCTTACAGGTTTCTTCTATAGTCAATTAACACCAGCCTTGCAATCAGAGGGATGTCTAGGATGGCCCTCTTTTGAGTGAGTTTGTTCACCACTATCCTTTTTTTAACTGCATTAAAATCATTGTACTTGGCTTTTCATCTTGTTTTAAGCATGTTTACGTTCTTACTTTACTGGGTAGTCATCCCTCATTATGTTAGACATTGTTTAAGATATAAAATATAAATAAACACCTCTACTCTCTCTAACAACTTAAGTTTTTAAATGAGGTGATTCAATATGGTGCTAGAACTCACAAAGGTCCAAAGTTCAATTCTTAGTGCAACCCAAAGTGTGAAAATTACATGTATAAGTCTTAAGTGAAAAAAATGAATCCGTCATTCTCATTAGGAGCTTGTAGAAGATAAAAAATTTGAAAAAAATAAATTCCTTCCTCTCTAACAGCTTAAGATTTTAGTTGGGATAGTTCAATAGAAATGGTGTATGTTTATAAGCCCTTTGGTCAATATGATCTTGGCATATTAGTTTTAAGACTATTTTAAGAACTAAAGAAAGCTTATAAGGTGCTAGGATATTTATTGGAGTATTTTACCACGTCAGCATCATGTCTAATCTAGAGTTAGGACAACCGGCGGATATCATAGGTTGTTCCTACCTCTGGGACTTGATGCAAATCGATTATGCAAGTAAAAACAATGCTTCTCTATATTTTGATGAATGTTCTTACTCTTTTGCTGATTGTTTCATAATTGTTTTTCAAATGCCCAAAAGTTATAGTCAGTTAGTTCCTAATACTCTCTACCACGAGAAGTCAAATGTTGATCTTTTCCAATGGAGAGAGAAAATTCTTTTTGTATGGATTATACTTGATTATTTGATTCATAGAGGACGGACATACTGAAATTTGTGGATACATCTTTTCCAACATTGCATTTTGGGTGTTAGTAATTGCTGCTGTGTAAGTTCATAATGATATGAAGGAAGTTCACAATCGTTTTATGCACAGTAATGTTGCTACTCCTGATAAGTCCGCCACAAGATATTGCAACAGCAAATGCAAAAACCATCTCTATGATGAGAATGAGGATTCTGATAAAACAGATAGACAGACTAGCGAAGGCAATACTGTTTCTAATGGCAATTTTTCTGTCAAACCTCCACTGTTCCAAAAGGGAGTGCTGAGGACAAACTGCATAGACTGTTTGGATCGCACTAATGTGGCACAATATGCATATGGCTTGGCTGCTTTGGGATATCAGTTGCATGCCCTTGGAGTAACAACATCTGCCAAGATAGACCTTGATGATCCTTTGGCTGATGAATTGATGGCTTTTTACGAGAAAATGGGTGATACCCTTGCACATCAGTATGGTGGTTCGGCTGCTCACAACAAGGTAAGCTAATGTGTAATCGCCTTCTAATATTGGGTAGACTGACTGGATTTATTATTTCATCATTTCCTTGCTAACAGGCATATGTAGGATTAGTTTGACATAAAATCAGAAGCTATTTTCTTGCAAATTGGAATATCTGATTGCAGATGTTCTGATGGTCTTATATTCAATTCTCTGAAAAGTTATGTTACATCTGGAAAACATTGGTATTAATTATAGAACTGTAAAATCAAGTTGATTTCACTCTCTACCAATACTGTTTCATGTGATATTGAGCGGTCAGCTGCAGCATTTTTCTACTTTATAGATATTTATTTTATGTATTTGCTATAACTTTGTGTCAAAACAATTTTGTAAAGCCATTGCATGCCCCCTTTATTGTGTGGAAGTGCCAGAATCATTCTTTCATCTGTCCTTCAACTAGTCGAGACATCTTAAGTAACTGTTATGCTTTTAAAATAATATTTATTTATGAGATTGATACCATGTCTTAACTGAAGATAGCTCCAGATAAAACCCATAGAATGTGATTTGAGTCAACTTTTAGTAGGGTTTGTCTTCAGTCTGATCTGATTTGAGTCAACTTTTAGTAGGGTTTGTCTTCAGTCTGATCATTTTTTTGTTACAAGCATGTGTTTTGGTTGACACTTCAATTAATTTGTTATAGATTTTCTCTGCGAGAAGGGGTCAGTGGAGAGCTGCAATCCAGTCCCAGGAATTTTTTCGAACTCTACAGCGATATTATAGCAATGCTTACATGGATGTGGAGAAGCAAAATGCCATCAATGTGTAAGTTGGTAGTGGTTATGATCTTACATGCTTGAAATTTTTAATATGGTCATAGGTGATATGGGTAGTCAAGATGAATTTAGGAGACATTATAGGAACATTCTGTCTGCCAGACACTTTATCTTGCTCTTGATGTGCTTCACTAGCATTGAGAGAGTGTTGATATCTCTTCCTTCTCAAAGATTTTTGTTACTTTTCTGGACAACGTCCAGTATAATTTTTGAGGTGATGGAATGATCTATTCACTTAAACTGACAGTTCAATTGATAATATTTGGGCAGGTTTTTGGGGCATTTTCAACCTCAACCAGGTAAAGCTGATGTATGGGAGCTGGATTCTGACCAGCATTCCAATGTGGGAAGGAATGGGCAGTCAAAAAGTGATGAAAATGGAAGGTAACACTTATTTTTATCATACGGGGAATTAACCTAGTTCGTGGATGCTTTTGGACTTTGTTCTTCCTTCTGGTCTTTGAATTTTAAGTTTGTTTGATGGCATAAAAATTTACATAGGATCCTTAGATATATTCAAATCAGACTGAGATGGGATTACCTATTAATCGTTCAAGATGTACTTCTTGCATTGTTGTTGTGGGAAAATTTGAATGCTATATTTTTTTAACTGCTGCATGATATTAATGTGGTCGCGCACCTTTGTAAGCTCTGGTAAATTTTGCTCTGTTTTGTATGTTTAGGTCATTATTTAAAAGGTCATGGTCAGATGGGAACATTCTTTGTGAAAGTGACTCGCCCATGTCCACCTCGAACGTCAATAAGGATTTCCCAAGTTCTGACTTTTCTAGCAAGTCAAAAGGAGGAAGCAAAATGCTTTCTGAATCATCACCAGAAATATCAACTTGCGAAAGTGATTTAACATATTCTAGGTGCTTTACTTTCCAGCTTCTGTATATTCAATTTTACTTTTTTACAAGGCTGAACTGCTCCTTTATATTATTGAACGTGATGCATTAATACTTATAGCTCTTTTCTTTGGTTGGAGGGATTGTACAAAAAATGGGAGATATGATTTTTCTCCAAAAGACACCTATTTCCTTTCCGTCATTTGTATTTATTGTATATTGTATGTGCAGTTATTCAGGGTTTTCTTCACACTTTTGCCCAATTGGGATACACAATTTATGTCTACTTGATGTTTATTATTCTGTGATTCCAATTAAAATCTTGATCATATCTGTCCAGTTTGTTGGCTTTGACCTAGGATCGTAGACATGATTTTTTCTGATTATGTTTAGATAGAATTTGAAGATGAAGAGATATTAGGTGTTACTTTTGCTTTATGCTTGAGAGTGATATTTAACTTTTACATTGACCATCATTTAATGTGATTCAGTAAAACAACATTCATAATTCGAAGGTGATGTATATTCTGGTGGGTGCATTTATATTGACCAGATCATTTTTGATATCATCAGAATTTTCTGATACGAACTCAACTCCACTGTCCGATTTATCAAATAAACATGGCTGGCTCTTTCTTTGTTTTAATGGGGGATGAGCATTTTTATTAAGAAGTATGAGATGATGACCCTTTTTTTCCTGAGAAGTAATTAAATATTTTACTAATCACGAATAATAAACAGGAAATGTATTATCAATTTATACAAGAAAAAAACGACATAAAGTTGCCAACTCGTCTATACGAGTAGTAGCTGCAGTATTAAACCAATTATACAAGGTCAAAATGATTCTTTGATATGCTCTGTAGTCCTTGAATGATCGTCAAAACAGCGGCTGTTTCTCTCCCTCCACACACACCTGACGATGCATCTTGGAATGAGATCCCATTCAAGCTTGCTATCCTTATTACGAAATTTTCTCTGCCGTGCTTTCAACACATCCTCCATACACCGCGGAGAAACCCAAACCATGTGTTAATAAGCTAGAATATCAATCCACAGGAAACGAGCAACGTTACAGTGAAAGAACAAATGGTCAATCGTATCCCATTTCCTTCTACACATATAACATCACTCCATAATATAAAATCCCCTTATTCGGAGGTTATCCACCGTTATCACCTATCCTTTCACAACCGTCCATAGGAAAAATGTCACCCGAGGGAGCAGTTTACATTTACATAGCATCTTCCAGGGAAATGAGCTCTATGCAAGTCTGAATAAGGACCTAAAAGAAGTACCAACTGAGAAAATATCATCCCGTGCCAAACTCCACCTGCTACAATCACCTTCTCCTACCCTAATGTGTGCCTCATACGAGGAGGTCAGGAGTATCGCATAATCATCTAACTCCCAGTCCTACAAACCCCTCCAAAACTCAATGTTCCAGCTGATATTCCCATTATGTATATGTAGAACTTCATTCATCATAGCCGATGGCAGTAGAGCAATATGATAAAGAGAAGGAAACTCCACTCTTAACGACCGGTTTCCACACCAACAGTCTTTCCAAAATTTGATAGTATTGTCATTCTCCACCACAAATGTCAATCTATCCTAGAAGTCTCTCCGCTCTTGTTGAATATACTTCCACAAACTCACCCCATAAGAATTGCGACCCTCAATTGAGCACCATTCTCCCTCCATAACACCATATTTCGCCTCTATAATTTCTCTCCAAAAGTTCTCCCTCTCCATGGCAAATCTCCACAATCACTTACCCAACAAAGCCTTATTAAACACTAGAGATGATGACCCTTGCAAGATCATGATTTTCAAACATCATCTCTCTTTCAAGTAGTTTAAAGGTTTTGAACCTGTTCCACTGATTGTATACCTTCTTTACTGGAAACTGTTCTATTTTATTCTATTTGTAACTTCCTTCATTATCCTTGTGATTTCTTGTACAATATGTGGATTTTGTTTAGTTGAAGCAGAGGTGGAATTCTCGCCTTTAAATAAGCAGGTTAGACAATGAATGATGATCACTTAAGGAAAAATATTGTTACTTTAATGGGTAAGAACTTAATATTCACTGTGGAAACAGATAATCTTAATCTGAAATATTAGATTTTGGTAATTAATTTCTAGTATTTTCTAATTTTGATATATAAAGGAACAACTTCAGAAAAAATTCACTATCTATTTATCTATATATCTATCTTATCATGGGTATTTATTGTATGTTGTATGTGCAGTTATTCTGCCTAAAGGAGATAAATTTGTTTGCAAAAAGGAGTCCATTTAAGAAAAATGAATTCCTCTGGCTCATCTTCCTCATTTTTTTTTATTCTGTGTTATAGATATGCTCCTTCAATGCCTGCTAGGGTTCTTTTTGCTGAAATGCAAAAAGACAGATGCCTCGAACATGAGCATGGAGACACTATCGACAGCTCAAACTTCGTTGACTTAGATTGGCTTTCTTCTTCTGGAAATTCATGTGAGGATGAGTTGTTGGAAAGGTAGTTCTTCTACTGATATTTATTTGATTTTATTAAGTGTAACTACTGAACGGATTTAAAACCATAGTGCTAAAAGGATGCTTGTTTGTTGTAACTGAAGGAGTTCCTAATTTTCAATCATTTGACTTATCCCTTACTTATATAGGATTGGTTAAAAGGGTCCTTTTCTTCATGGAAAGTTTTGTTAAGAAAATGAAGAATGTAATTTTGTTGCCCGTGATTTATCTTTCCTGAGCGTTTCTAGTTAATCTTGTCTAATTGCTAATTTTTACATGTTTCAGCCATGTTTTTCCGTCGAGTCTCAGTTGTATATCTTACCTCTGTCACTCATCCTTCATTAATAATTTGATCCTTCATTAATAATTTGTTCCTCTTACACTTGTCTCATTGCTAATCTTTACGTCTGTTTCGGATTTTTTTTATTTTTTTATTTTATTTTATTTTTTTTTTGAGTCTCATTTGTATATCTTACCTCTGTTGCTCATCCTTCATTAATAATGTTCCTCTTACACTTGTTACTTGTGGATTTGGTGATGTGTAATTGCTTAACCCGGGTAGAAAGCACAAGTTCTCTCTTTTCACATTCCTTGAGCTTTCATAAATAATAAGGTCCTTTCCGAATGCACCAAAGGGTTTTGAAATAATTTCTGTGAATTGTTAACCCTGGTTGATGAAGATGTTTGTGAAATGATATGATCTCTTGGCTCTTTTAACTACTTATCACTAAATGTGTTCCAATTGGAATCTTTCACTGGATGGCGGATGCATAATTATTTTGTGCTTAACTACGATATAATGTTAATTAGGTGATGACTAGGACTTAAACTCAGCTTGATTATCTCCTTAAGATGGAATTGGGAATTGATTATCCTTCCTGTCTATTATACCAATCAGTATTAGATCATGCTCGACATTATAATAACTTCTTTTCTTATCTAATATTGTCAAGTGCCTCTCCAATCCAACTTACCTTACATGCCACACATGTATTACGCTCTACCTTGAGACATCTTTATTTAAATTTTCCTTGTTGGATTCAAACACGCTACTGTTTTTAAATTAGAGAAAAAACTCTTCTATTGTTAGTAAGAACGCATACTTCAACATTGACTACCGTGTCTTGCTTTATTTATTATATGGTCATTCTGGCCTTCAATTCAGATGGTGTTGGTAATATACTATTACAAATTCTGATGGTATTCTAACTAGCTGTTCCTTTTGTTGTATCTAACTCTTGGGTTATGTACGGACCTAAATTCCTTTTTAGGAACTTCTTTTGGGTTGTCAGGGCCAGGGGTGGGGGTTTGCAGGAGTTGGTGAATGAGGATGGATTAGTTTGAGTTTCAAGGAAGCTAAAGTTCTCTACTTTTTCTTCATTGATTAGGACAATGCTCACAGCCTCCCCAATTGCGATGCTTTCATCAGAAAATATTGCCAATGAAATTGTAGGCGATACAACCCCATCTACCAGTGAATGCGGATCTAGCACAAGGGTAAGTATCATTTTTCCATATCATTCTGTTTCAATTCTCCCACTATAAATTGTAATGCATACGCAGTCCATGCAGAAGTTTTATTGTGGAAGGGTAAATACAATGGTCACACTTGTCAGTATTAAGCTTTATTCTCGTAATGCATCATTCAGATAATTCCATTAGTTTTATTGAACTGCAAGTAATTTAGTAAATGTATAAGCAAATAAAATTCTAATAGAGGTTGGAGCATACATCCATGAGAGATTAGACATGAGCCTGTTGTGATTTCGTATACCTGCACGTGCTTATATAGTTTGCATGTTTCTCATTTTATAATATTTATTGTCTGCTTACTGTGAATAATATTTTGTATTAAACATTGTGATTTTAGTTTGTCAAGTATCTCAAAATCGTAAGTTATTCTTATGCTTGCTATTGCCATCTCTCTCTCTCTCTCCAGCTAAATCTTCCATGTCCACCTCTTTGAATGAAGTCTGAATGTGCTATCTTGTCGCACTTTTTTACATCTGGGATCCCTTAATATGAATCCTGATTAACCTACAACTGCAAAGTATGAGAGCATACGGGTACAAAAAGCAGATTTGTGCAACATTTTCCATCGTAAAATTTTAAAATCTATTTTCTTCAATGATAGACAATGTTGCCATTTTCCTGTTTCTTCATAACCTCACCAACAATTTAAGCCCCTGTTTGATGGCCATTATTGAGAGAAAAAATAAAAAAATTGATGTTTTGAATAGTAATTTTTTTGAGGATGTGTGGTTATAAAGTAGGAAAAAATTTTGGATTTACATGTAAAATATTTTATTTTATGAATGTGTGGTTGAAAATTAGTATGAAAATTAAAGAGTTTTGTTTTAAATGGAGACAAATAGTGGCTAAATGCATTTGTAGCTTGTGCTTGAGATTATGGCACAACATATCTTGTATTAACAACTAACAAATTGGCGTGTTACTACAGAAACTAAATGTGTACTTGTTTTCTTTCTGACAATTATTTTTCATAATCATATGGATGGGTCCTACACTATACTTTCAGGGAAGGCCAACTGGAAATGACTTGGCGTACGATGAAGGCCATAACTATGAGGTCCTCGAGGAATATTCAGATAGTTTTGTGCATTGGGTGAATTATGGAGAGACTCTTTCTCATTGAGGTTTTGTTTCGCTTCCCTGCACATTTAGCATTTCATCTCCAGATATTCTTATGGCAGCCATCCAGAGAGGGAGGACGCTTGTGTTACGGAGAAATTATGGACGAGGAGAAACGAAATATGATGTACCAGCATTCTTTTTGTTTGTTATTTTCTAAGGAGAGCCATGCTCTTGACCTCCAATGTGATTTGTTCGATCTCAAAAACCTCGGTCAGAGCTTGATTTACTAGCATGGAGTAAAAGCCAACGTGTTTAACATTCTTTTCGGAGTTCTTTTTATTTTTTGTACTATTTTCCTTGTTATCAATTGATGGATTCTAGGTTCCCGTTTTCTTTTGTAAATACATGTAAGAATTAATCTCCGGGAGCTCCAATCTTTGTAGTAATAGTTCATTGATTCTTTACATCCATGCTGTGGTTTTAACTTTGTTATTACAATTAAAATTGTCAATAAGTACTTAAACATAATTTTGATGTTCTGTGGCTGGAAAGTTTAATTCGACCTTCTCTCTGTGGTATGTGAGTTAGTTCAAAGATCCACCATTGGCCATTGGAATGCAAACTAGATGGGTTTTTCAAGTTTCGTTCTGTGGGAGACGATTCTCCTTTGGCTCAAATAGCCACTCATGAAGCATGTTTAGTAAATTGGATGTGTCCCAGCCATTGGACTAGTATACATTTTTGACACAGTAAACTAAAATAGATGTGCTAATGAAAGATGACACGAACTTTGACCTTTCGAACCAAAAGAGGACGGAAAAGTGATCAATAAAACAAGATTGTAGCGGATGCAGACATTTGATGTGAGTGGGGCACGATCAAACTCATTAAAAAATTATTTATACTACATGAACACATACAAGTGATCACTGCTATAAATTCACAAATCTCATATGTTTAAAATAACAATTCTCAAAGAATTTCAAATAATGTCACATATTTGATAAATAATAATTTTCAAAGAATTTTCAAATCAAATATCGCAAATGACAAAATAATCTCAACTCTCACTTTCTCAATTATTCGGTTATCGCTGTAACTCTGTTCTAATAAAAAAGCCCAACTAACGTTACTGCCCAAATCTGATTTTTGGCTCTGAAACCCAAAAATAATAATAATAATAATAATAATAATAATAATAATAAAACCCTGAAAGTTGGTGGGTCACAAGACCATACAGAGGTCCGCCAGTGATTGCACCTAAACTTCAATTTTGGTATCTTTTGTCAACTTTGATACGGTTTTGGACCCTGACTTTTCTCTCTAGAAATTGCATCAAAATCGGGTGTTTTGGGCTCAAATAGAGATGAAGAATCGAAAGAGTCCAAAATTTATTTTCTATTTTTCTTGTGTTTTATTCAAATATGGGATTAGCTAGCTAGAATGACTTTGTAAACCTTATTTTTTAGCTTTAATTCTATAATTCAGTTGTTCTTGATTATTTCTTATTGTTTTAATATATGGGTTTAGCTCTTTTAACAAGTAACATAGATTTTGATCAGAGGTATAGATAATACCATTATGGTCTATGCAATTACTATATGATGTTTCATTGTCATAAATACTTTATTTAATTTATACATAATAATAAGTTCAATTCCACCCTAGATCAATTGTTGCATAATTTGGGGACCTGGGTTTTCAACATAATTGAATATCGTCAATTGCTTGATTATATGAATTAGGTATAAAAAATAGAGTTTAATTGTATTAACGGTCTTTAGTTAAAAAACAAAATCAAATAATTCTTACTTTTCAAATTTAGAGTAGGTAAAATC